CCGCTTTGTCGACATAACAGTGTGGACGCAAAGGACAGTGCAGATGCAATAGTCCCTTACAGCTGCCATCAGGCGCCGACCGCCTGGCTCCCACAGCACTGGCCCGCCCGCATCCCCGCAGTGCCGGCCAGCAACACCCTTTCCCCCATGGCCATGGGGCCCTACATGGCCCAGCGCGTGCGCCAGCAGCAACAGCCAGGCCGGACTGGGCCACGCTTGAGCTGTGCGCCCTGGGGGCAGGCCCTGCTCTGTGCACCAGCGGCCATAGCCGGGCTGCCCATGCACTGTGCACCCCGGGGGTGGGCCTGCGCACCCTAGGGGGGGGGCCCGCTCCCCATGGTCAGGCCCACGCATATGCCATGCACCCCGGGGCGGCACCACACGCCTGTGCCCGGGGCCCCAGAATGCCTGGGGCCAGCCCTGTTGAGAATGCAGGGGAGTTATCAAGAAGGCAAAAGCGCAATTGGAATTGCATCTCACAAGGGATGTTAAGGATAACAAGAAATGTTTCTACAGGCATGTTAGCAAGAAGAAGGTGATAGGAGAGGGTATGGGGCCCCTACTGGATGAGGGCGGTAACCTAGTGACAGATGATGTGGGGAAAGCTGAAGTACTTAATGCTTCCTTTGTCTCTATCTTCACGGACAAGATCAGCTCCCAGACTAATGCATTAAGTAACGCAATATGGGATGAAGGTGGACAGCTCTTGGTGGGGAAAAAACAGGTTAGGAACTATTTAGAAAAGCTAAACGTACATAAATCCATGGGTCCGGACTTAATACATCCAAGGGTACTGAGGGAGTTGGCAAATGTCATTGAGGAGACTTTGGCCATTATCTTTGAAAAGTCGTGGAGATCAGGAGAAATTCCAGATGATTGGAAAAAGGCAAATGTAGTGCCCATCTTTAAGAAAGGGAAGTAGGATGAGCCAGGAAATTATAGGCCTGTCAGTCTTACTTCAGACCCTGGAAATATCATGGAGGGGATCCTCAAGGAATCCATTTTGAAGCACTTGGAAGAGGGGAAGATGATCAAGAATAATAAGCATGGATTCATGAAGGGCAAGTCGTGCATGACCAATCTGATTAGCTTCTATGCTGAGGTAACCTGGCTCTCTGGATATGGGAAAGTCAGTGGATGTGATATACCTTGACTTTAGCAAGGCTTTTGATATGGTCTCCCACAATATTCTTGCCAGCAAGTTAAGGGAATGTGGATTGGATAAATGGACAGTAAGATGGATAGAAAGCTGGCCAGAAGGTCAGGCCCAGCGGGTAGTGATCAACAGCTCAATGTCAGGATGGCAGTCAGTTTCTAGCAGAGTGCCCCAAGGTTTGGTTCTGGGACTGGTTTTGTTCAACGTCTTTATTAATGACCTGGATGAGGGGATAGATTGCACCCTTAGCAAGTTGGCAGATGACACTAAGCTAGGGGGAGAGGTAGATATGCTTGAGGGCAGAAATAGGGTTCAGAGTGACTTAGACAAATTGGAGGATTGGGCCACAAGAAATCTGATGAGGTTCAACAAGATGAAGTGTAGAGCCCTGCACTTGAGACGGAAGAATCCGAAGCATTGTTACAAGCTGGGTACCAACTGGCTAAGTAGCAGTTCTGTAGAAAAGGACCTGGGGATTACAGTGGATGAGAAGCTGGACATGAGTCAACAGTGTCCCCTTGTAGCCAAGAAGGCTAATGTCATAGTAGGTTGCATTAAGAGGAGCATTGCCAGTTGATCCAGAGATGTGATTATTCCTCTCTACTCAGCTCTGGTGAGGCCACATCTGGAGTATTGTGTCCAGTTCTGGGCCCCCAATTACAGGAAGGATGTGGATGCATTGGAGAGGGCTCAGCAGAGGGCAACCAAAATTATTAGGGGTCTGGAGCATATGATCTACGAGGAGAGACTGAGGGAGTTGGGTCTATTTAGTCTGCAGAGGAGTAGAGTGGGGGGGCATTTGAAAGCAGCCTTCAGTTTCCTTAAGGGAGGTTCGAGACAGGCTGGAGAGAGGCTGTTCACAGTAGTGATGGATGGTGGAACAAGGAGCAATGGTCTCAAGTTGCGGTGGGAGAGGTCCAGGTTGGATATTAGGAAAAACTATTTCACTAGGAGGGTGATGAGGCACTGGAGTGGGTTACCTAGGGAAGTAGTGGAGTCTCCATCCCTAAAGGTGTTTATGTCTCAGTTTGACAAAGCCGTGGCTGGGTTGATTTAATTGGGATTGGTCCTGCCTTAGGCAGGGGGCTGGACTTGATGATCTCCTGAGGTCTCTTCCAGCTCTATGGTTCTATGATTCTAGGTGGGGAGTGGGAGTCCTGGAGCGTGCCAGCTCCAACTGCTCAGGCAGCACGCGCATTGCTCCTCTGCTCCCCACGGCAGCGCGTGCTGTCTGAGCAGTTGGAGCTGGCGCAGTCCTGGACTCCCACTCCCTCCCCCGTCCTTCCCCC